CGATGGACCACTGAGGTCCACTAAGTCCCAACCTTAGTTAGCTTAATTAAAACAAGCACATCATTTTCCACACCTACGCAAAGAACTAAGCTATCTAGTAGCCACAATCTTCTGTTGATTACTTGATTATCATCACAAAGTTATATTAAGACACTTTGATAGAATAGTAATATAAACAATCTAACTAGGTTACTAAGATTTGTTTATTAAACCATTCAAAGCTAATAGAAACATTAGTATGAGATCAACTAATATCGGAAGCATTTAAAAAAAGAGACACCATACTATCATCATCACAACGATGGAAAATTATAGCCATGGATCGACACTGTCCAATCAATGACTGAATGGCAATGGAGAGAGAGGGCCCGCCCTAACAGGACATGATTCTAATGACAGACCCTGCTCTGTCTTCATCACCCTCCAACCATTGATTAGACGGTTATGACCCCTGTGACAATGAAATTCTCCATACTCATGAGGATTACAGTACAGTGTCCCTTCTCTAAATAATTAAACAATCGGTGTTCTTGATAGAGCATTACCTCAACCTCCCTAATCTCATATTGTTCATGTCTGCTCAAAACCTTGTAACTTACAGTTTCAAGATCTGGAACTGCCACACATGCATACACACAGAGAGAGAATTATAATTACCTAAAGTTTATACAATGGTAGAGAAAATTAGACCATAGTAGAAGCCCTAGCTACCACAAAATTATGTGTGCTGAGAGAGAGAGAGGGGGGAGAGAGAGAGAAAGAGATAATCACAAAGGATAATCTAATTATCACGAAGATTAAGAGTACCTGACATAAATGCCTCTTCCAAGTTACGAGCCTCAAATCTCCTTGGAAAGACATACTTTGAGGTTTCTGTAACTAAATCTGATAATACTGCATGGAAAAGCAACAAGCTTATAGTCCCATAGGTCAGTTACAGCACAATACCAATGTTTTTAAACTCGGCTTGGGACAAGGACTTGGCCCTGGCCCAAGCCGAGTAATTCGACCAAGTTCAAGTGGTGTTGGCCAAGTAATCTACAGGGCCCAAAAAAGAAAAAATTCAAAAATTTCAAAAACATTGCTAAAAGTAAAACAAAATGTTTAAAGTGAAGGAAAACCAAAAACAACCTAAAATGTCTAAATAAGCTGAAAACTATTTAAACAAGGATTAGAAAAAATTGATCGATTGCCACATTTCATAAAAATTAAAAAAAGGAAAATCCAAAAAATAGGGTATATGACAAGACAAACGTACAAGTCATTAGAAAGAACATCAAAATTGCATATATAATTTTTATACATTTGTCCGACCTCATAATCACAAGAGCCTTATCCCAAATGTTTGGAGTCGACTACACAAATATGTTCCACCATTCTACTGTATCGGGGGTCGTACCATCACTCAGGCTATAAGTCCCCAATATCTTTTTTCACTACTTCCATCCATATCATTGGGCTTTCTCCTTGCCTTCCACTTCAACCAAATTGCACATCCTATTATCCAACAAATTTACACAATTTTTTATTATCAATTTTTTTAATATATGCCCAAGTTGTACCTATGTACTCAGAACAGCAAGGGACGACTCTGAGTAACTCGGCCAAGCAGTTAAACAATGTATAAAGCCATAATTTGAAATTACAAGTATGAGAATTAATGTTTTGTGTTTGGGTTGAAACAAATACTACAGAGTTTAAATCGAGAAATTCAAATTGGATCCAAATAGCCAACCAACAGCAACAGCAGCAGCAACAATAAATACAAGACTATCAACAACAACAACAAAAATAAAAAAAATAGAAAAATAGTATAATAACAATAACAACATTCCTAGTTTGCAGGTGACAGAAATTTGGACCTAATAAAGTAAAAACCAAAAAAGAATCGAATAAAAAACGAAAAAACAATATAGGCATGGCCACAAGAAACACTTAACACCACGGTTTTTTGGGTAAATAAAATAAAATTTAATTTCGTCCTTAGACTCTTTTTGACGTTTGCTAAAAAAAAAACACCCTACGTCAGGCATAATTCACTCACAATAGACCAAATTCAACGAGAAATTCCACCGCTTAAATTACAGGCGAACTTTTCGGATTGTATCTGATTCAATCTTTCAAAAGAATAACATTTTCAACTATTTTTTGGCAGAGGTTCCAAGAGAAATTGCCCCCTAAACCTCGACAAAAGTTCAACGAAATTAAGATAGGGTTCTGCTGTGAAATTTTGCGGAAACGTACCGAAACTGAGATTAGGTTCTAATCCAATAACTCGAAATTCACTGAAATCTAAGAACTCACAACGTTGACAAAGGGAGGCGGTTTGAGAAGCTAGGGCAAAAACCAACGACAACCTTGCTTCAGTAGCCGATTGCCCTTTTCTAGAAGGCTTTAACGGCTTGGTCTGGGGCGCCATGGCCCTTAAATTGAAGGTTTTTCTATAGTTCTGGGGGAAAACCAATGAGGTCGTATAAGCCGATATCGCCATTTCTCCTCTGCAAATCTTTCAATGATTCTCGCTCTCTCTCTCACTCTGTCACATGCTTCTGCGGTCCTCACACTCTCATAGAAGGCATCTAGAATTGATTCCAGAATTCGGGGGGAGGGGCAATTTTTATCGTTTAATTCTTTTGAAATTTTAGTCTCTTAATTTGGAAAATAAAGACCAACCTCATATTTCGAACCATTGAATTCATTATCTTATGTGCAAAATCTGAAAAAGAAAGGTTGCTTAAGCACAGCAAAAGTTATCGAACAAGGTTTTAAAAACGGTAAATTACAATAAATAATAATAATAACCAACACTTTCTATGCAATTTATCTCCAACCTACAATTTTTTCTCATTTTTTTTTCCAAAACTAACCTTCAATGCAAATACCCCCAAAGGAATCCCGTACACAAAAATTATTAATTTTTTTACCCAAAACAAACCTTTTATGCAAATACCCTCTAGGGAACAAACCTTCTATGCAAATACCCCCGAGGGAATCCAGTACGCAAAAATTATTATAGCCAGATTTGATGTTGACTTTTGGACCATACTAGCACATTGCCAACGCGCACCATCATATTACTGGAGCGCACCATCACATTGTCGGAGCGCTCACGTACCGAACGGCCCTAAGATAACTACTGGACCAAAACTGAATACTACCGGACCACTTTTTATATAGTGTTGGAGCCTTGGAATCCAGTAACATCTACTGCTAGACCGCCCGTTGCAATTGTCGGACCACCCGTTGCAACTGCTGGACCGTACTTTACATAGTATCGTCGAGGCCCTACTGCCGACCGCATTCTACACAGTGCTGGAGCCTTACTGACGGACCACACTTTATACAATGTCGGAGCCCTACTACCGGACTGCACTTAATGTCGGAGCCCCTATCTTTGTGGGATAGAGGAGACAGGCGTAGGTAAGGTAAAAAGTAAAGATGGATAGTTTAGGCCTTTTATTTATTTATTTTTTGGTTAAGGGGTACATAGAAAGTGTAGTTTGGGGAAAATTTGAGATAAAAAGTTAGGTTGAAGGTAAGTTACATAGAAAGTGTATATTTGGGGTTTTTTGTATTTTTTTTTTTAAAAAGGGAAAATTACATAGAACCTAATAGACTTCCTATGCAACTTATACCCGACCAAACTTTTTTTCTCACTCTTTACCCCAAATTTAACTTTCTTAGTAAATACCCCCAAGTCGTAAAAAAAGAAAAATGAAGACCAAAATACTCTCTAGAAATCATGTCGTCTAGTGCAAAATGGGGGTGGTTCAGCACAAAATGGGGCGGTCCAGCACTTTGCTTATGGAAAGCATGTGGTTAGCACAAAATAGCGGCAGTCCAGCACAAAATGGGGGCGGTCTGGCACTTTGGCCTTTTGGAAAGCATGCGGTCAAACACAAAATAAGGGCGGTTCGACACTTTAGGCATATGGTCCGGCACAAAATGGGGGTGGTCCGACACTATAGGCATTTTCATCAAAAAAAAAAACAAAAAAAAGACCTTTTTGACTTGGGGGTAGTTGCTAGAAAAGTTCAATTTGGGGTAAAAGTTGCTAAAAAAAACTTTGTTGGGGGTAAGGTTGTCTAGAAAGTCTTATTTGAGTTTTTTTTTTTGCAATTTTTCATTTTAAAAATGAGAATATTTCTATACTCCCCCTATAACTGTATACTTCCTCATCCAGGTATCCAATTTAGATCAAATAAGTCATTGTTGGTTGGAAAATAGTTTGACAGGGTTGCAGCCCTTTCAAAATAAGTAAAGTCTCACCTCATAACTCATCCAAAATTAAAATTCAAGCATTAGAAAATCTTTACATCAATCATGTCGACTTGAACATATGGTTGTGAAAAAATATAGAATTTCAAGCTCTGAAAATAGAACAAATTATCTTGACTATCAATTGCACCTAAAAATAAGTGTTCATAGATCTATGAATTGTACCATCTTTTTAGTTTCAAATTTTATTGTTGGCCTCAGAAATTGATTTTAGGGTCATCATGGAGATTTAATTTGCCGAAAGTGCTCCGGACGTAGATTTGAGGTGTTGCTTTATTTTGTTTTCATAAAGCCTGAGCCTTATAGAAACCTCATCCTTTGATCCAAATCTGATATCTCAAAGTATTTTATTTTTAGTTTTTATTTTAAAAATTAAATAAATATGATATTTCTTATCTGCTATCATCTCAATAGGATGCAGTTAAAATAAAGTATAAAATAAATATTTTTAATTAAATAAAATAACCAAAATACCCCTGAAATTTTTAGGCGTATTTTGATCATTTTATTTTATTGAGAATATTTTTTTTATATTTTTCGCAGGTGCGATTTTAAGAGAGGAGTGGATGCCTGAAATTGGGTATTAAAATTTTTTATAAAAAAAGTAAAAATAAAACGTTATAGAGACATGGCATTGTAATTACATTTATCTCATCCAATCATTTAGATCTAATGGCTAGATAAGGAGAAGTCTCTATCCATTATTTATTAAGCGAGAGGGATACCCTCACTATTCTTGCGCCACATGTCATTCTTTTTCCAAAATTGCCCCCCTCTCTCTCTCAACGCCCTCTTTCCTAAACTATTTCTCCATCTTTCCTCTTTCTATAGTTCTCTCTCCACGCACCTCTCTCCCGCTCTCTCTAACTCTCTTTCTCTCCACTCATGAAATCTCCTCTCACTCACGTCCCTCTACTTTGTCTCTCTCACGTCCTCTCTCTCTTTCTCATCTCTTTTCTTAAATCTCTCACAAATTTTGGAAGTTTTTTCCGCTCCAACAGCTCCATATAAATCTCTCTCTTTTTCTTATAGAAATTCAAGAATATTATTAATAGAAAATCAACGACAATACATCGTCAAAGACTACGAAATTACATCAACAGAGACTGACATCTCTATGAGAGAAATACAATCCTTCACAAGATTATCGGCCAAGACATTGACCTCCCGATACACATGTACAAAGGAGATAGAAAAGGAATGTGAGAGATCAAGAATTTGAAGCAGGAATGATCTCAACTCCCATGGTTTTTTCTTCTCCCTATTGCACCAATTGATAAAATTCAAGGAATCGCCTTCAACAATGCACTAAGTTTTTAGAGGATAAGAGATTGAGACCCTGAAAGAGAGCGAAGAGTTCTGCATAATTTGCTGATTTCTCCCCCAAAGGACGTACATAAGTTAAAAAGATTTTTCCATCCCAATCCCTCTCTACTCCTTCAAAACCCGCAGGGCCAGGATTTCCTAAAGAGCTCCCATCAAAATTTAGTTTCAAAACCCCTCTTGACAGTGGACCTCCATTATCGAAATCCCAACTGAAATAAGTTAAATAAATTACTCCTTACGTCGACTTCCAAGGTATCTCTCCCAAATTTCGAGATAGATAAATACAACCAAATAGGATGAAGGATTGTCTTCAAAACTCTATCAAATCAGACTTATCCCATATAAAACTCTTATGTTTCTTTCCTTCCATATTTCCCATAGAATCACTCCCTTTGCAATTTGCGAAATAACCATTCCAGTATGTGGCAATGTAGGAACTGATAAAGCTTGCAAAATCCCCTTAACATCTGGAGGTAAGACCAAAGCCACATGGATCTAACCAAAAAACCAACGCCAAATTCTACAAGTAAAAGGGCAATGAAGAAACAAATGAGCGCCTGTTTCACCATCACCCTTACATATCAGACAGACATTTAGTAGAATCTACCCTCTTTTGATGAGATTCTCAGTAGTTAACACCTTATTCTGCACAACTAGCCAAAGGAGGGCCTGTACCTTCAACAGAACATGACACTTCCAAATAATTGCAATTTCCGGCATGGACCATCTCCACCGATCATGGAATAGTAAATGATACATAGATCGAACCGAATAGTCCCCATCTTTGGCCAAATCCCAAACCACCTCATCATCTGCATTTTGTTGGATATATACATCATTCAAAAGCCCGAGTAACTTAGTAAATTGGAGGAAAATGTCATCTGGAATCCTATTGTAAAGGAAATTAATCTGCCATTCTACCTTATCACCCCTAAATTCAAATAATTCCGCAATAACCGCATTTGGATTTTCCACCTTTTGAAAAACTAGTGGGAAAAGGTGTTTCAGAGGAGAATTAAATAACCTCTTATGATGCTAAAATGAAATATTTCTACCATCTCCAACAGTCCAACAGATGTCCCTATGATTAAAGATTTACAAGAGTTGATTGCTTTTCAACAGAGGGACATCCCTCTAGTACCACTTCTGCCTCCAACCCACATCTTAAATTTATCCTCCCCCTATTTCACAACAATCACTTTATACCAAAGCTAGTCTTTAAACTTTAGACTTCTCCACCACCACTTACATATAAGAGTCTGATTGACTAATTTGATCTTCCTTAACCCCAAAACACCTTCCTTTCTAGGTGTGCACACCCTATCCCATCGTAGGAGATGAAAATTTTTGGAATCCCCCAAATAGCCCCAAGGGAAGTTTCAAATAAGCATCTCGATTTTACGAGCAACTGATGCTGGAATCTCTAGAATAGACATTTGATAAATAGGAAGATTAGAAAAACAAGCTTTAATCAAAGTAATCATTCCCCCCAAAGAAAGATATTTATATTTCCACAAATCAAGCTTAGTTTGAATCCCTTCGAATCACCCTATCCCAAATAGCCACAAGAAAACGTTCGTCTGAGATAGGCATCCCAAGGTACATAATTTGGAAATGTTTAACCTTAGAGCCTAATACATCCGCCAAAGTATTCACCATAATATCATCACAATTTACACCAATCACCCCCGTTTTATCAAAATTCACCTTAAAACCTAAAGCCACTTCTCAACATTTTAAAAACGTAGCTATATTGGAAACTTGATCCACCCTCGTCTCACAAAATAACAATGTATCATCTGCATATTGCAAGTGAGAGATACAAGGTCCTTCATTTGGCAACTGAAATCCCACAAAATGTCATTTCGCTACAACATTGCGAACAAACAAACTAAAGCACTATGCATAAATGGTGAATAGGAAAGGGGAGAGAGGCTCATCTTGACGAATACCTCTTGATGCACGAAAGAATCCAATAAGGCTGTCATTATACAGTATGGAAAAGTGAGCTAATGAGAGACAACCATAAATCCAATTCCTCCACTTCTTCCCAAAACCCATATTCTTCATAATCTCCAAAAGGACACTTCATTCAACTCTATCATAGGCTTTCTCCATGTCTAACTTAATCACAAGACCAAGTAGCCCATTTAAAACA